AAACTTCCAGCTGATTGGCTCCTCTGTGGCTCCTCATTGGGCTGTTTCCCTGCCCTTTCAGAACATGGAGCTGCTCATTGGGGGACTCTTTTGGCCCCGCCCACACAACCCAGCCAATCGGCCTGAAGAGTGGGAAGAGATTGGGGGAGGTGCTCGCAGGGAGTGCCTGAGATGGCAGTTGGGCTCTGAGGGAATTCCTGAAGAGCTCCAGGGGTGCAGCATGTGTGTTCTAAAAATAAAGTTTGTTCCTGCTTGATAAGTGGCCTGTGAATTGTGCCCAGCCAGACTGCCGCACTTCCTGACACAAGTAGAGGAATCCTGCCGGTGGAGTGTCTGTGCTACTGGTACATTCATCCAACAGACTTACCCCTTAGATGTCACTGCAACTTTCAGCTGCTGGTAATGACTCACAGTTTCCCAAAACCTGGTCATGTACTCCCTCCTCCACTCCCCTACTCTCCATCTGCTCCCTTCCCCTCTGCTGAACTAAGGATCCAAAGTTTTGAGAGCCTCTCTGAATTGGTTTTGCATGTGAACTCTCTCATGTATGCGGGGCCATTGCTCTCCCCTGAATACTGCCAAACCCCCTCTCTTACTGAAGGTGTCCTATCTGCATTCTTTCCCTGGATCCTGAATATTTTTATAGAATGTTTACTTCTGAAAGCAAAAGGGAAATGTTCAGTTGACATTTCAGAATTTAAAATCATGTGTAATTTTTGTAAGAAGGCAGATTATAATGGCATTTTAGAAATAAATTGTGGTAATATTTATATAAAGTTTAAATTATCCATACCATTAACACATTAACTCACTATTTACACTGTTATCTCCTTATCAGACAATATTTACATTTGCACAAGAATTCATGTTCAAAGACGTTGATACATGGATGCTTCATAATTCTACAAAGTAGTTACAAAATCGAGGTACATTTACACGTGCTATCATGGGAAGATCTTACATTAATTTCATTAAGGCAAGTTGCAGAAAATATGTACGTTTTTACCCAAGTATGGCAAAATGACAAATATACTTTATAGCACATTGTTCATTAGGATGATACCAAAGGAGGGGCCTGAATTATAGAGGAAGTTTGAAAACAGAGAATTGTGATATATATGTACTTTTAGATTTTTTTTGCAACAAGAATGAATGCACTGCTACCTTTGCAACTAAAATGTTTTAAAAGCCTAATAGCAAAAATAGCAGCTGTGTATTAGCTAAAGAGCTGTGTATTAGCTAAAGTAACTTCTAGCTAATATTACAGACAAAACTCAGAACTTCAATGGCCAAACAAAGTAAAAGTTTGTGTTTAATGCACATGAATTCCGATGTGGTTTGGCAGGGGCCCTCTGCTCTCAGGTGACCCAGGGATCCAGACTGCTTCCATCCTATGTTTTGTTATTGAAACGAGGAAGAAAGCATGGAAATGCATACTGGCTCTCAAATGCCAGGAAGTGACCAAATGACACTGTCACTCTTGTCTCAATGGCAAGGAAATGTCACATGTCCCTTCCTATCTACGAGCCAGTGGACAGGAGTGTTGCCCCATGCCCAGGAAGGAGAGAGGATATGGCTGGGAACTTGAACTCTCTGCCCACATCTGTTAGAGAGTAGGAGCTCAGCCGGGAGCAAACACTGTCCTTGATAGGCCACCACACTCATTTTTTTTTTTTTTGGGGAGCAGTTTCTGAGAAGACCAGATTTGCCTTGAAGTTTTAGGTGCCTGCTGTGGCTGATGACTTCAGTCCAACAGTATCCCATGGAATTGAAGAGGATCACGTCAAAGCTACCAGATAGGGTTCCCCTTCTTCACCCCACAGGACATTTCTGCACTTGCCCCTGCAGTACCATCCTCTCAGTAGGCTGAGGGTTACCCCTTTCGTCTGATGCAGGGTAAAATCTTAACCACTGAGCCTCTGCCACCCTCCACGTGGCCATTCTTGCCTGAACACCTGGACAGGTCCATTAGTCACACTGAAGCCAGCATTTTCCTGTGAAGCCAGTGCCAGACAGGCAGCAACTGAAGGATGGTTAAATATTCTTTTATTGTCAAGAGCTAGCATGTGTTTCTTGGACTGTTTTATACCTCCTGGGGGACTCCAGGCATTTATGAAGTCAACCTCAATAGATGTTTTCTCCACAGTGATTTTCAAAGCATTTCTTCATCTAATACTTATAAGGAAAGCTTTGGTGTTTAGCCATTCACTTGTGTATGTGTTCAGAGGTGAGTGACACAAAACATACCCATTTAAAATCTGATTTAAAATATCAGGTGGTTTTAAAAACCATGTAACTTCAGGGTTATACCCCAAGTACCAAGAGTATGCCAAATACTACTTTACTCACAATCCACTGGAAAACATTTGGTGGGTGTGTTGAAGTCAACTGGATTGGTAACTATGTGTCTAAAAGTCCCTGTCTTTTATTTCAAAGGGTCTGTTCATATCATAGGGTAAAGGATGGGAGAGCCAGATGACTTTAGGGGGTAGGAATGTTCTCCATCACCTGGAGGACAGGCAATTCCACACAGTCACCAGAGAAGGCAGCAGGGAAGGGCTGGGCAGTGGACCAGATTCCAGAATTTAAAAGGCAGGTACATGGGGGATGACCAAGGGAAGGGTTCTATAGTGAGAAAGGATCCTGAGACTGGACATAATGCTGGAAACAAGGCAGTCCATTCTCAAGGAACCAACCTCAGACAATCCCCAATTATGTTTGATCCTATCACCTACTTTAGGACTGCTTTTGGTATGTTGGCCTACCCCCAGCATTCTTCTTTTTGTCACTAGAGAGACATTATACAATGCTGAGAAGAGAAATGGATTCCAAGTAAGAAGGTTGTCCTTGGGCTGGGACAAGGGGTCTCGCCTCGGCCCTGTCATTTACTAGCCAATGATACTGGGAAGTTCCCAACCTCATGAGCCTTGGGCTCTTCCTCTATGAAGTGGGGCTGACAAGGCCTGTTTGGTCAGATTGTTGGGATGCGTAGACTGCATGTAAAACACCTAGCACAGTGCCTGATCTGTACTGGCACTGTAGTGAGAGGCATGAGGCTGTTATTTCTTGTAGTATTTCTTGTAGTAGCCTCTACAATTGTGGAATGTTGTTTCCATTGGCATTGCTCTCGAGGATCCGTTGGAGAATACAACTCAATAGCACATGGAACACAATTGGCCAAAAAAGGAAATTTTATTAAGTTAGTAAATATTCCCTCGTTGGAGGACATATTACAAGATCTAGGTGTGGAGGAGTCTCTACTACTGGATGCAATTCAAAGGTCCTAGAATTTATTTATTTATTTATTTTAAATACACGACAGTAGAATGCATTACAATTCTTATTACACATATAGAGCACAATTTTTCCTATGTTTGTATATAAAGTATGTTTATGCCAATTCATGTCTTTTTACATGTACTTAGTGTTTTTTGCATTACAATTCTTATTACACATATATACCACATTTTTTCTTATCTCTGTATATAAAGTATGTTGACACCCAATTCATGTCTTCATACATGTACTTTGGATAATGATGTCCATCACATTCCACCATCCTTGCTAATTTAACTCAAGAACCAGCTCCTTCCCTCCCTTCCAGTTACATTTCCATCTAAACCACTATTGTCATTCTTTTCACCTCCAATGAAAATCTATTCTTTGCTTAGAGTTGTCTAAGCTGTATTTCAGGTAACTAATTAAATGTTCAAATGGAGTCCACTCTGGCTCTCCCAGACCAAGAAAATGTCAGTATAGAGGCTTCTCGGCACTTCTTCAAAGAAATGTCACTGAAGTTTCCCTGGAAATCCTTGTATATAGGACATGAATCACCTAGTTCTTGTGCTATTTAAGTGCACTGGGACAAGGGCTCAGGATACTTCCCATATTTGACACTAACTCTGTGCTTTATTCATGAAGTGAAAAGAACTGCTCAGAGCAACTTTTTAGTCTTCAAACCCTAAGACACACCATTTGAGGTTCTGGCCCTGGCCACCAGAAAGCCTCAATTAATATCACTCCCAGAGATGGCAACAAACTCCTTGGCTTGACATTGGACATTGACACTTGGTTACTCTGCCCTGAAGCACAACCTACTCACCTACTGCCAAATGTTCTTTAAATCTCAAAGTACATCTTACCATCTTCCTGATATGTTTGCTGTTCCTAGACTTTACCATTCCACAGGTTAGGTTGGATCTGGCTTATCCTATATCTCTACCACTAACACAGGGACTTCCAAAAAGCACATGTTCACTGAAAAATGGGGTAAGAGGCAGTGAGCAGGGAGTCTTAGTAAGTTTAAATTTCTCCAACAATTTTTAATGAGCCAAGCATATACAAGTATATATCTTTTTAAGTTTATAGAAACAAAACAAAAGGCTATAAAACGTAAGGACAGGTAAAATTATCTTTTACATGTTTGTCTTTCCTTTACCTCAATCTATTTTAGTGCTGAATTATCTCACATTTCCAAGGAAGTTTTTATTCTAATGCCATGTTATCTTGTTCCAGAGCACAAAATAAGATGGAAAAGTTTCTGATTTATTTTACAAAACAGCAAGACTCTTAAACTATATAAACAGCAACATGTTTGTGAGCAATGTGTCATTCAGAAACTTAGAACTCTGAAGTTAATTAAATCTTCCATTAAAAGAAACAACATTTGAAAAAATACCAAAATGAAAGAAAATCTCCAATTCACCAATACAGACTAGGAAAGCCACTTGTTATATACTAAATTCACTCAAGCCCCATTCTGCCTTTGCACTACTTTAAAAAGTGACTGCTATCTTCAAACACAGAGTAAAGTATCTGCCTCGGACTTCATTTGGGACAAGATAAGATACTGAATGTGAACTTGGAATATGCCTTAGCCCTGACCACTCCACTACCCCTGGATGCAACTCTGCCTTGGGCTTCCTCTTCATCTCTTAAAAAGCCTCCTCATACCAGATAGAAAAGGCATTGGGAGGAGTATCATTGACCTTGGTCCAAAACTATAGGACTTTCACCTTGCTAGTTACAGCATGAGCCCTTGGACCCCACAGGAACTCATACCAAACAGGATCACTGCTGGGCACCTGGCGATACTCCAGGTACTGTTCCTCCACCAAATCTTCAGAGATGAGTTTTCTAGGTTCCCCATAGATAAAGTGTTCCCTCCCAGCATGTATACCCATCACACTCAGCACTTCCCAGACAACCTCCTCAGGGGTGCAGCTGCCATCCAGAAAGATCACAATCAGAATATTTATCAGGAGACCAGTTTGGGGCATGCTCTGTTCATTGCTTAGCACTCCATCATAGATAAGACCCAGGGCAATGACAAGAACATAGGAATGACTAGAGGGGTCTACTTCTATGTCAATGCCAAAGACCAGCTGCATGCACTCAGAGGCTTTGCTGAAGATCATGGGGAAGTGCTGATGACACTATTGAGCATTTCTGCATTGGTCACAGGCTCAGTCATTTGATACTTGAGGGGTAAGATAAGGTTGTTGTAATCAACAACCTTATCATCTATGACATCACTAATCAAAGACTCAGTGCCTGGCAAGGCCTGGAAGTTTCTAAAACCCTCATTTTCCTGGTTGCTGAAGCCCTCATGGAATTGGCTCTATGGGCTATAGGCCATGGTAGATAGGAAGGAACAGTTTCTCTGAGAACAGTGGAAGGAACCCAGCATTCTGGTAGCACAAACATCATTCATAATACTCAGGATCTGAGAATAACAGGAATTAGAGGAAAAGGAAGAGGATGGACAATAGGAGGGAAAGAAAGAGGTGGCTTCCTGCACAACTATGGGAACTGGTACATCAACCAGACCAGTGCCACCCTTTAGGCCTAACGGTGCTTTTGTTGGTGTTTCTAATTTTGAGGCATCATGACTTTCCTTGGGAATATCAGGCAAAAAGATGGACAGGAGCTTAGTGTTGAAGACTTACCAGCCTGGGGAGAGAAGGTGCGTGTCAGGGCCTTAGCTGAGAACTGAACCCTTGGAACCCTTCACAAAGGCCCACTACAGGTCTTCTCTTTGGGCAATGCTCTAGGTCTATTCAAGTTCCTCTCCTGGTAGGCCTATTTCCTGAAAACSTGAGGCAGGAAGTGAGGCAACTTCTGTGGGTACAGCAAGCCCACAGAGCACAAGGCCCAGGGTTAATAGTAGGGCTTCTGGGKCCTGAGCTCTGTGAGACTCCCTCTGTCCTGGTTAGTGTGGGATCCTTGATACACRTTCCCAGAGTGCACCACACCATGACTCCAAATACTGCCTGGGCCTCCTCTGCTCCAGGACCTGAGGACACTGCCTCATACAAAACCTTCACGACCTGGTTCCAGAAGTTCTTGTAAGAGGCACTGAGGGGCCCCACAGGTTGCAGACTCCAAGCACAACCTGATCCACCRGCCCTGATAGGAGGGATGGGCTGCCTTCTGTGAGGTCCCCACTGTTCTGAGGTGGATGGTCCCCTCTGCTTACTCTGGGCCCTTACCTTTCCCCTGGTAGGACCTGGATACCACCCATGTGCTGGCCTGAAGGACACTCTGTGAAGAAGTGCCCACCTCCCTGTGAAGGAACACAAGGCAGTGAGGGGCCTCACATATGGCCACACCTTCTCAAAGGTGAAGCAAGAGCTGGCCAAATTCAATGGTTCCATGTGTCCTGGCCATGGAGGATCTGGCTCAGTCCCCACCTTAGGTATGAGATGCTCTTTAATGATCTAAGGGCACCTTCCTTAAACCTTAACAAATCCTTAAACAAACCCTGTCTACGTGAGACACCCAGAAAGGAAGTGAGGGAAAGGTAAAGCCAATGGAACTGGGTTGTCCCATGGCTGAGAAGAAAGGGCAGGTGAGGATCAGGGTCCTTGTGTTCCATTGAAGAAATTCCCTCTGTCCTTACCTGACTCCTGGCTATGCCTGAGATCCTCCTTCTGCTTTCCTGAGCCCAATCCCCTCTTACTGAGGCCTTCACTTCTCTGAAACCAATGACACACAGAAAATAAAGGAACCTTTACAACCCTGCCTGGGCTTCCTGTGCTGACAGCAGGTAACGGGAAGATTTCTGAGGGGCATCCACTGTATTCTGGGACCCTTGACCTTCCCCTAGGGTCCTCACTTTACTCTTGGGTAAACTGGGACACCTGTGTCTGATGACCAGATAGGGATCCCTGTGCTAAGGTGAAGTTACCCTGTCACATCAGGTTCCTCACTTCTCCAAGAGCCTGGTACTTCCCAGAGAAGTGAACAGTTTCCCACTGCCCTTGTGTAGGTTCTCCAGGGCTGGTGGTTGGACCTGGGTCCAATGTATTATGGGCTGAGAGATTACCCAAGTCCTTACTCATGCCCACGCCTGCCCTTCCTCACTACCACCCCATCTGAGATGAACTGACATCTTTACACCAAGACCCCATCTCCCTGAATACCTCCCATATTTGCGCCCATGGCAGAAGATCTTGCCACTTAGGGCCTCCTAGGGCTGACTATAGTGGGCAGGCACACTATGTGGTATCCACTGGGTCAGAGATGGGGATACTTTCAGTCCTCATGTAGAGTCCATACCTTGGGTCTGGCAGGTCCTGGATTCCTCCCTCTGCTGACGTGTTATCACCTCTTGGACCAAGGTCCCTACACATATAAAACCTCTCAGCCAAACCAGGAGGCAGAAATGAGCCAGAGTTACTTCCAGTGACCCTGAATGGGGTAGATTACAAGGGAAGCCAGACTCTGTGAGGTCCTTCTTTTGGGAGGTATGGCATTCAGTCCCTGTCACCAAAGTTCCTCACCTTGATTCCCAGCAGATGCTGGAATATCTCCCAGGGTCCTGAGAGGCAAAAGGAGTCACTGCAATTCTCCCCCATCCTAACCTCTGACATTTAGGCAACAGGCTGGAACTCCCAGGGTCCCTTGCGGCCTAAGGGTTTGTCCCAGAATGTTACCTTTCATCCCAAAGTGCAGGGTTGACCATAGAGGTCACTTGGATGATTTGACAACCCTCCCACTGTTGTGGGGACTCCTCAGTCCACCCTCAGTGCTCACCTTGACACCCACAGCACCCTGTCCCTGTCCCTTCACTCCGCCAATGGCTTTTACTCCCGGCATCCCCTGCGACCGGAAGGAGTACCCTGGTGTACCGCCGTGGAGGTGGACAGGGCACTCTGGAATTCTTCCCCAGGGGAAATGACTGGCTACAAAGGGATGGGGGGCGGGGGGGGGGAGAGGGCATCTTCAGTCTACGCCAGCTCTCACTTTGACACCCACAGCACCCTGTCCCCTCACTCCGGCAACGGCTTTTATTCCCAGTATCCCCTGCGACCGGAAGGGGCACCCTGGTATAAGGTCGTGGAGGCGGACAGGGCACTCTGGAATTCTTCCCCCGGGGAAATGACTGACTACAAAGAGGGGGTAAGAGGGCATCTTCAGTCTATACCAACTCTCACTTTGACACCCACAGCATCCTGCCCCTGTCCCCTCACTCCACCAACCGCTTTTACTCCCAGCATCCCTTGCGACCGGAAGGGGTACCGTGATATAAGGCCGTGGAGGCAGACGGGGCACCCTGGAATTCTTCCCTTGGGGAAATGAGTGGCTACAAAGGGAACCTACCCCTGGGGGTACGCATCTTCGGTCCACTCCAGCTCTCATCTTGACACCCACAGCGTCCTGGACCTGTCTGTTCCTTGTGTGGCTCAGCCTATGTCTTTAACTCCCAGTGTGCCCTGCAGGGAAGCGGCGCCCTGGAATTCTGTCCCCCATACCCCCATGCCATACAGTCTAGAGGACTTCCCAGGATAGTTTGGACATCCTCCCTCTGTGGTAGGGCCTCCTCAGTCCACCCTCAGCTGTCACTTTGACCCTAATAGAACCTGGTCCGTATGCACTCCCTGCTCATCGCAGGCCAAGGTAATAATTAGTTAATTCCCACGGTGCCCTACAGGGGACCAGAAAATCCTCCCCTACTGACACTCAGGATGCAGAGCTGACAAAAGATGTCACCAGGGATTTGAGTGACACTGGATGATGAGGTCTCCTTAGTCCACCCAGCGCTCACCTTGACCCCCAATAGACTACAGGCCCTATGTACTCAGGTGACATGTATTACGTGGCTCTGGCAACAGGTGTAACTCCTAGCGGTGGAAAAAGGACACCTTGAAATTCTGCCCTTCTACCCCGGTGCAGGGCTGGCCATAGAGGCAGCCTGGGTCTTTTAGGAACCCTATTCCTGGGGTGGGGCCTCCTCAGTCTACTCCAACTCTCACCTAGACCTCCAAGAGACTCCAGGCCTTGTTCTCTCAGGTGACCTGCATTGTGTGGCTCTGGCATCAGATTTAACTCTAGTTGAGGCCATGTCCCCTCTTCTGACTCTGTGCCAGAACAAGGTCATCAACTCTCTGACCCACTTCGGTGGAACTCAGTGGATGCCACTTAGGACCACCTGCCTGAGACCTTCCCGGGTGGTCAGGGAGCACAATGTGATTCTTCAGGGCCCACCTTCCTTCCTCAGACTCCTCACCTTGGTTTCTGGCCAATGCTGGAGCCCCTCGCTGGCCCACCCATAGTCCTCTGTGGTGAAAGTGGGGGCGGGAATTGTAAGATTGACAGCTGGGCCTGCCAATGATTTCCTAGTGCTGAAAGCTGTTCCCTGTCTGCACAAGGAGACCTGACCCAGGAGAGCCACTTTCTTTTCCAGCCTCCGTGCTCTCACCAAACCTGGTTTCCCAGAGATTTACTAACACCAAAAATTGTAAGTAGCAGCAAGTCAAGTGATTTGGCCTAGGCTGGCTGTCATCTCTACCTCGAATTACTAGATTGAACGCTGACCCTTGCACTCTACCTCCAAGCTACATCAACAATCCATTGTTTTGTTTTTGTTTATTGTTGTTTTGGGGGTGTTGACAAGGTTTTGCTAAATTGCTCAGGCTGTCCTGAAACTTGGGATTCTCTTCTTAGCCCCAGGAGTAGTTGGAATTATAGGGCCTATCTAAGGCTTGCTAATTTTGAAGTGATCTAAATTTTTCATAATTCATGTAGCCATTTTTATTTTTAAACTGTCATTTAGTATCTGAATATATTTTCCATTTTTGCCAAATATATGTGTAACTCATAAATATCTAAAGTATATATGTAGGTTATACTTATATTTATGTATAGATACTTAAACACGTATACATATGCAATCATGCATGTATTATCTACATATAATATATACATTTTCTGTGTATTTATACATATTTTTATGCATGTATGTGGGTTATATATAACTACAAATATCTCTTTGATTAAAGAATACTCTTTATGTTAATGATTCATACTTAAACTCACTATTCTATTTCTAGTGCATTCTTTCTATTCTGTTAAAACAATAATGGTTTTGAAACTCCTATCCTTCCCAGCTAAGAAAGTTTCTAGTCGTTACTAGCAGACACTCTAGATCCCTAGTCTCTCATCTTTTCCTTCTCTTTCTCTCTCTCTCTCTCTCTCTCTCTCTCTATCCCCCCCCTTTCTGTGTGTGTGTGTGTGTGTGTGTGTGTGTGTGCGCGCACACACACAAAGAATTGAACCCAGGGGCATTTAACCACACTGAGCAACATACCCAGCCATTTTTTTATATTTTGAGACAGGGCCTCACTAAGTTGCTGAAGCTGGCTTTGGACTCATGGTTCTCCTGCCTTAGCCTCCCAAACCGCTGGGATTGCAGGCATGTTTCACTGTGCCTGGCCAGTCTGCATTCTCTTTCTGTCCCTGGGTTCCTGGCACCTGTGGTGTGATGTAATGCCTCAGATTGTGCAGGGAACTTGCAGCAGCAGCTTGGAAACTGTTCTCCCCTCATCCTGTCATATGCCACCTATGCAGATCACAGGCCCTCAGCAACCTCCCTGCTGCAAGCCCATCTCCAAACACACACATTCTTCAGTCTCCTCCAGGGCTTTCACATGTTTATTTCTTAAATGTTTTATCTATCTATCTTTCTACACACACACACACACACACACACACACACACACACAGAGTTTTTCAGGGTTGATTTTGGAAGTACAAGGCAGTAGCCCATAATTGATTGTCATTTTGGCAACTACAGGTAAGGCACAAAAATGTAAGGAATTTAAGGAAATTCAGGACTTTTACATTATTCTGTTCCCCTCAATGACTACGGCATATTTCTCTATTTATTTCAGACTCCTTTTTGGTTATGTTTTTATTAGTGCATTGTAATTATACATAAGAGCGGGGTTCTTTCTGACATATTCCTACATGCATGTAGCATAATTTTCTTCACTTCATTCCCCAGTACTTCCTCTTTCCCTTCCATCCTCTCCAACATTCCCTTCTTCTTCAGTCTTCCTTCTATTTGTTTTTAAATGAGTACATTATAATGATGCACAAAGTAGAATTAATTGTGATATATTCATATATTCATCTAGCATAATTTGTCAATTTCATTCCCTAGTGCCTTCCCTCCTCCTTTCCCCTGGATTCCATCCTTTTACTGTTTATTCTTCTATTTTGGTGAGACCAGACACTTTTTTCCTGACTCTGTCACTACACATTTATAGTTGTCTTTATAAAGGCCTTATACATTTTTGTTAGGATCTTTTTTTAGGTAATTTTTTGACTTTGTTGCCATTGTAAATGGCATATTGTCTATTAGCTGTTGTACATAGTGCTTTTGTGTGGCAACGATTTTAATTTTGCCATTGTAATCAGCTGTACACCTGGTCTGATGTCTCATTCACTTGAATACTCCACATGAATGTTCCTTTGAATTTTCAAGATAGATAATGATATTGTTACTCTGCCTTATTTTCCCCCAATATTCATACCTCTATTTGTTCTGATGATCACAGCTCTGGCTTTGTGCCTTAGCCCTGTTTTGAAACACAGAGGCAGTAACATACATCTACCTCTTCTTCCTGACTTTAATGATAATTCTTCTAACATTTTACATTTAAGTATGTAAGTGATTTTAGCAAGTGGAAGCTTCCTTTTAATATTAGTTGAATAAATGTTTTTACTATGAGCTTATGGGAATTTCTTTCAAAAGCATATTCTCAGCGATTGACATTATGAAATGTTTTCTCTCATCAATTTTGTATGTAAGGAACTAAAATGGAAAGGTTTTTTCCCTAATGTTTACATCATATTTTCGTGCCTTGAATGATGCCTATTTATTCATTTAATTCATTACTTTATCTGATGTGCTGCTAATTTATGTAGGATATTTGATGCTGTATGAGCGAGCTTACCTCAAGGGTTCTTATCATGGGGAGGGGGTTCTTGTCTGGTTTTTGAATCCAGGAAAGCTGGCCTGAGACAATGAGTTGAACTACTGGCAACTTTTGATATGCTATGAAAGAGTCAACAATCAGGCAGTAATTAGTTTTCTCTAACCATTAAGTGGAGCTGGCCTTCCAAACTGCCTGGTCCTGGAATATCTGAGGGTGGCTTGAGCTTTGAAAAGTTTCAGTTTATAGAGTTTAATCAGAATTTAATTTTCCTTTTAGGCCAATTTGATCATTTATTTATTTTATTTATAAAAAGTAGTCAGAATTACTGGAAGGGCATTATTTATAATGCAAACCTTTCATTACAGAAAGCGTCAAACATACAGTAGAAAGAATAATATAATGAGCCCAGTATACCTGACCTTAAATACATGGAAGATTTGTCTCCAGTTAGATTCCCCACCTACCTGCTTCTCAGGTACTGGAATAATGTGGAGCAAGTCCAAAACATCATAGTATGTCCTCTCTAAACAATTCAATATGCACTTCCTAAACATAAGAACTTTTTTTCTCCTTTGGTACCAGGGATTGAACTCAGGGCTGCTTAACAACTGAGCCACATCTTCAGCCAATTTTTTTTTTTATTTCATTTTACTTTTAGACAAGGTCTTGCTGACTTGCTCAGTGCCTCCCTAAGTTGCTGAGGCTGGCTTCAAACTCAAGATCCTCCTACCACAGCCTCCCAAACTGCTGGGATTACAGGCATGTGCCACCACTCCTGCAGATAAGAACTTTTTAATTAAAAAGACGTAAAACAAAATACTTGTTTTTTAAAATTAAATAAATAATCATCAGTGTACAATTGTTTTACACATTTTT